TATTTATTTGATAATATAGATGTACTGCATTTATCTACTAGAAATTAATTGTGTTTATCTTATTTCAAAGGTCTTCACATATATATATATTTGTTCAGCTTTTTCAAAGTTTTACGAATATTATTTATTTCTTGACGTCTTAATTTTCTTTTTTTTATTTGAGCCTTGGAGGTTGTTAAAGTGCCAATTCTTTATATTTGTATATTTGGTTATCTAATTTATTCTTCTTTCCTTACTTCACTTGACGTATATATTTTCATTTTACATTATCTCCTGTTTATCATGCTTCGTTATCCCATAGACATTCAGACATTCCATGTTTATAAGCAATTTTAATACCTTATTTACTGGATTTCAGTGTCCCTGTATTCATTTTATGTCTCTTATCTTGTATGTATCTTGTAAACAAACGCACACATAATTCACTTGTGCCTTATTGGTGATTTTCCTTTCTTACATTCTGCTCTGTCTTGTCTGTAAATACTACTAACAATTTTTTATATTGGAAAGAGGAACTAAACTTTTTTTTGTTTTGTTTCCTTTTTTGTATTGTATTCACTTCCCTTGAATGACCGTGAGTGAAACATTTCTCGTACTACCTACCTAAACGTATAATATGACATATTTGTTCTAGGAATTTTTAAATTAAATCAACTAACTTTTCGTGATTTGTGTTATTAATCTTTAAATTTGACTGTAGTGATTTTCGTTCAGATGTTGTTGATGCTGATTGCGTTTAAGAGGAATGTGTAGACGATGTAATTCGAGAATTTAATAACTAACCATCTCACAAATCGTCACATACAAAGCCATTGACACGTGTTATGCCGATAAGGTGTTTTAATGCACTAACTGTAATACCTCCCTAATTATTAGGCTAAATGCTTAACAAGACTGAAGTCGAAGGTTTGTTATTTTACATAGTAGGCAGCATTTTATCTGTGTGATATATCCTTTGAAAGCAGTGTCTGAACTTTCCTCAAAGTAATTTTCAATATTCTTGTCTTGAATATTTGAGCAACTCCCGATTTTTCTATTAGATTCCCTAAAATATAACCTAAGTAATGGTTCACGGCAGTTAACTTTATGGCATTGTGTGGCACTTGTCACGTGACTATGCTTTTAAAACATATTTTGTAATTGAGCTCCATGATCGAAAAGAGACGAATAGTATATGAACCTGTTCTGGTTACGAGTAGTCCTCCAGCGTTGCTCTGCTACCTAGGTAGTAGTTACCTGAGACAGTTATTTACTTTAGTTTGGGCGTCCTGTCAGTATGTTAACCATCATATGAAACATGCAACTACAATTCAGTGGGAAACTTATCGTCGTAGGCTCTTAACCTATCGTACCTGCTACTTGACTGATCATATTTTCAATCTTAAGTTTTTATCATATTGTCATTGTAATTCTCGCATGTGAACGTCTAGGAATTTTTTATTCGAAATCTCAGTATATTTGCAATATATAAGTTTGCTTACTGATTGCTTTCAAAAGGTTGGTTTTTAATGTGGTATCTAACTCAACTATTCTGACATATGTCACATTTAAGCTTGCCGTCTACAATATTCTCGCATTCATGTGCGACACAGATATTCGTGTGTAATTTAACTTAGACATCAGCATACAAGATCCAGTGAATTACTTCGAGTAACTCCCCCCCCCCCCCTTATTCATCAGTTTAAATAGTTCACTTCATGTTCTTGTGGTTTTTTCATCAACTCTGCCTACTCACTGATGGAATGCAGTCCCGATGTAAGTAAGAATGAGGTATGCTATCAATCAAAAGTGCTCGATGTACGCTGTAATCCTAGCTGAGGAATTTAAAGCATAGATTGGGTGTCTGGGTTCAGAGATTAATCGTTTAAATTATCATAGGGCACTCTTTTCTGTAACTATGCAGATAACCTATTTTTAATCAGTTCCAACTTCCGGTACAGTCATTGCCCCAATTCTACTTGGCATCCTCCCACTCCACTTTGATTCACGTTGAGTTTCAGTATGCTGCAGGAGGCGTGGGTGCGCTTCTCTCCCTCTGGGGCTCTTGTCTGCATTCTGATCATAATTTAATGTGTGAAGTTTCTCTCTCGAGGTAGTGGTTATAGAGGTTGGTGTGCACACGTTGGCGAGGGTGCACCCGATACCAAAAACGAGCCAGACTGAATGCAAGCCATCAAAGTTCCAGAAAGCATGAACAAACACCGACTGCACTTACAAGACTCAATAAACGTGGCCACCAAAGTCTTTTGCAGCTCTTAAGCGTAAAAACGTAGTGCTTAGGTCAGTAATGCAAAGCTTAGTGATCAGAACATGCGAGTGAGACGGAATCTGTTCTAGCTCTCCCAAGATACCTGTAGTGGCTTATGACGGCATATGGTACACCATTTAACAGCGTGCAAAGATATCTGCAATGCTTCACAGGTCGCTCTGAATAGTTAGTTTAGTTAGACCTCTGTGCATGTTCAGTAATCTTGATCACACGGTTGCTGGAAATTGATCCACCTAGCGAAACGTAGGTGTGAAACGATTGTTTTGGAAAGCATGGGAGATTGATTCAGTTTCTTACGAGTGTCATCATTGTGCATGTGTTAAACACCGGGACATGATTGCGTTGCAGGTTGCATCTGAAATACTGGCTTGTGTGATGATCCGCAGGTTGTGTGAAATGCTCGAGAATTGGATTCGCCGTGAGTAAGCCGGGTTTCTTTTTTGAGGCTGTGGCTGCGTTGTTCACGTGTTCACTTCGTCATTTATTAGAACACCGTTACACTTAATGCAATTTAACACTTATTTCTTGGTATAAAGGTGGTAACTTGAACTGTTGCACTTCGGTGCGAAATTCTACGTTGAGAACTTGGAACAGGGAAGCTCTCTGATGAAATCATCTGCAGGATTGAGAGGTTGCTGGGGTTTACCAACTTCCTCAAAGGTTTCTACAAAAACATCTCAGATGGAATGAGGTTTTCTTCAACTACCAGTTGGGTTAGATACCTAACCATTCTAGCCACTTTAAAAAACTTTTTCAACGTCGAAATTTTAGAGACAGCTCCTTAAGATGCGTGTGTGTGTGTGTGTGTGTGTGTGTGTGTTAGTCATAATCCTGCCTGACTGATCATGAGATAACATGCAGACTAATCACTTAACTAGCTGGTGATTAGCGTCTATTTGGTTTGCGTCTTGCACAGCCCAAGTGCAAATTGCTGTAGCAGGAGCTTCTACTTGGATTAATCCTCATATTTGAGCCCTTAGGAAAGTTCATCAATCTTAGTTGTTGTCTGAATACTGGTGGAGGTTAAAATGGATGCAATTTTCAATCGTATATTAAAAGCCAGGGCACCATACACTATCCTGAGTTATCCCTAATGAAGTTAGCCTGGTCATCAAACGCCACTTTGTCGCACACACGCTTGCTGTAAGGTTGTGAAACCTGATGTCTCTGAACTGAGGATGTATGGTTAATCTGCTCGTCCACCCATCCGTCTTCCTTAGAAATGCTTGCTTCTACTGGCGTCATCGCATAAGTAATCACAAGATCTGACAGCGCATAATGGGTCAGGGTGACGATCACCTTTTAATAAGCGATGTCACTCTGGAACACCGGTTCCGGTAGCTTTAACATGTCATGAATATTATTCACTGTTTGCTAACATTAAGACTGCGTGGGAAATCCGAGATTTAATCTGCCCGTGATAGTTGTTTCGCATCAGCTTGTTATTGTATCACTGCTTCCTGAGTGAGTTCTAAGATTGAAGTGTTGGTTTGCAGGGGTATGATTGGTTACAGGGTCTTATCATCAGCTGATATCGGTTAGACAGCCACTGCGAAACCTTGAAGTACTGGACAGGTGTTTCGTACTAGTTTAGGACTCCTTATCACTACGCATCCGCTGGGGCTCAAACCCAGGACCTTTGGGTTACAAGGCGAGCTTGTAGACCATTAGGCTACTGGGACCTGGCCCAATAGCCCATGAATGCCAACTCCTGCCAATTAATGATACAGCGTAACCATTAGCCAATGTCATCATGCTACACAGTAGCCAGATATGTTATCAGATATGACGCAAAATAGAAATTAAAATTGAAAATGCATACTTACATAAATTATATCTTTTCCTCTGACGCCGTTAAAATTTTGTTTGGCGCTTCTCTTGTTGCTCATATAATACCCTGTTTGTGTTTTAAATAGAATAGCATAGATGCCTAGTCTTAGTTGAGTCAGCTGGGAAACTCAAAGGCTAGCTCATAATGCTCCTTTTACTTTTTATGTACAACCTTACGGAACATCATTTTCTTAAAATTTTGACCTATTGAGTGAAGTGAATATTGTTCAGGAGACAGACATCTCAACTATTTTAGTGTATGAGGACATTCACACGTCTAAACAAAGTTGACCGCCATACTTGCTTCCTTAGTTGTTTACTGCAAAATGAAATATTGTTTCTATAGGTGTTATTAATACTGAATTTTATTTAGTTTTGAGTCATTAAAGAAAAACCGGATGAAAGTACTCCTAACTGATAAGTAGCGAATAAGGTCATATAAGTACCATGGATTTCATCACCCAAGTAGCTAGCCAGTACTCGATTAGTTTGAACTGACTGATCTCTTTCTTCATAGTCATTACGGATACACCAATGGTTAGCGTTGCCTCAATCGAATGAACAGACCAACTCATGTTTATATCACATCGATCTGTCTAGCTAATACTACCCCGGTCGATGTGAGTTCTTTCCAAATACTTACGTTATTCAATAGCATATGTTGTGTTGTTCCCATAGAAAATGTGATACAGACACCTCTCAGAAGAATCGTTTGGTGAAATATTCCCCTACTTAATTCGTTATCACTTCTATATAGGACGTTCATCATTGAAAGATAAAAGACTATTACTAAATTGTTTACTATATTTGTCTGAATAGAAGACTGTGTCCAGATGAATTGAGCAAGTACTTCATCTGATAGCACTAGATTATTACAGTAAAATTGACTAACAAGGATAGATTATTTGATTATTTCAACACCATAGTGTCTATCAAGTTCTTCTAGACCGCCGTTGCATACCTGAAATATGCATAATTCTATGTTAGTTTGCAAAATATTATGCAATGATAATTTTAAGAAAATCATTCATATTATCAATTTATAAAGTATGGATAAAATATGTAGACTTAATAACGTCATAAATGCTGGTGTAGTATATGCTATGAGGGTTTAGGAGTGGAAGAATGTTGACGAATACGTGAGATACAATTATATGACAATGAAAGTGCATATCCTCCAACACCTGTTCCAAATGACCGGAAAACTACTGGAAGTCAAACCAGGACAATAAAGGAATCGTCCAAAATACAAAGTATATTTCGGGATCAGAAACGTGGGAAAGTAATGTCTGCTTAGATAACTATGAGTATTCACGAACATCCGAATGTAGGAGAACAGCGTGTCAAATAGCGAAGATGCTTGACTGCCTACCTTCAGATTAACCAGTCGATTTCAACAGTGAGGGCTAACATCCACTGTTAAATGATGAAAGCTGTAGGATAATTACTCACAAGCACTGCTGATACTACTTGGCTGGTGGATTTGTGTCGATTTAGTTCCAAGGTTTAAATTGTAAAGTCAGATGGTCCACATAATAAATTACACACCATTGTGACAAGGCTGCCTACTATCACCAATGATTTTCCTGATTGCAGTAGATTGGATAATGCGACAGACAGCGGGCAATGGGGAAACAGGCATAAAATGGACTCACACAAAAACTTGGAGAATCGGGACTTCACCGATGATATATGTCTGCATCCCCACAAACTGGAAGATATGCAAGCGAAAAGCAACAAGTTGGCAGAAGAAGCATCAAAGATAGAAATCAGTGTATCGTTTCTTTGTATAAATATACATCATACAACTGAGTTTATTCATTCTTTCTTGAATTCATTGAAAACTAACACTTAGACTGACACAAATGTTTGCAATGAACTTTTTTGTGACTATGTGAACGAGAGAAAAGAAACTTTTCAAGAGCATATTTGCACTCATTTTATGAGGCTATTGATGCTTATATAATATAATTAAAGTATTAAATCTAAAAGCAAATTAATGAATTTCTAGATTAATTGTAATGGATGCATTACACAAACTGTTCTTAGACTGGAAATCCATGTAAAACTTGTTCAGAAGGACGTAGACTAATTTAGCGCATGAAACTAATTCCATCAAGGACATTCCTTAAATTATTTCTATCGATTAAGTTCAAATGTTCAGATTTGCTGTTCACTGAAATGTCTTATCTTATACAGAGTTTATATAAGAAGGTAGTTCAGTAAAATAAACCACGATTTCTTACGATTCTTTGACAAGTGTCTAGTACAGTCACCTAGATCTGCTATCTCTCAAGTCCCAACCAAGTAAATAGACTATGCCTTTTAAAAGGAAGACAAAGAATAGCCAAGTAGTTGTGTCTTATTTCGTTGCTGTTGACATACCATATGAGTAATTTCCGTCAGAAAGGTAATTTAGTTAATAAGTTCCCTTATTTACTAACTAGTGTAAACACCACCTAGACGTACTGCTGTAGAATTTAATTATGTGATTAACTCTGCGATGAGTTGTTAATGTTATCAAGATCATTTCTATAGGAAACACTTTATCCTGAGATACCTTTTCAAAACATTATTCGAAATATAATCGGTAAAACTATGTTCAATAAGACTTACTTTAATTGGAGGATCTTTTAGAGGATTCCCACCGACTGTTGTGCTTGGTGACAAAAGTGGTGACCATATCAATCCCCGCAATTCAACAATCGACTGTGGTAGACTTTCTAATCTATTATCACCCAGCCATAAGCAGCGAAGACTTCTTAATTCACCAATGTTTTCTGGTAAATTTGTCAAATTGTTGTCAAATAATAATAAACTTTCTAAACTTGTTAATTCTGTTATGGAGGATGGTAGAGATTCTAACTGATTACTGCTTAAATCAAGAAATTCTAATCTGGGTAATTTAAGTATTGGTCTGGGAAATTCGGAAAACTTGATGATTAATCAAGAGAGAAAACAAAATGAAGGGAAAATATTTATGATATGAAAATTTTGTTTGGCTAGTGAAAATGAACTAACATTATCAAATCTATCTCTTAAAAGTTTAACCTGCCTGCTTAGTCATTAATCATCATCTTTGTCTAACACAGTTTCTAAATAATATTGTTTCGTTTGGCTTTTTTAATCTTACAGACTTCATTTCGAGGCTGTTCAATTCCTATGGTGGATTACACTTACTTCATGAGTTCAATTAGTGTAATTAAGTTATTCTTTACCTGCGTTTGATAATCTTGGAATCACAGAACACTAATAAATATTTTAGAATTATTATGTCCTAATTTCGGCCTTTACAGCAGTGTCTGAACCATTATATATATATATATATACAGCACTCTGCACAAGGAACAAGAATTCAATTTGTAACGCGAATATAACCCCAGTGCTCCTAAATGGCTCAGAGACTTCGGAAATCCGTCACAAAAATCATTTCTAACAGATTAATACAGACTGTCATCTCCATCTACCCTCAATTAATGTTGAAGAACAGTTGGTCCGTCAGAAAAGATAAGCAACAAGGAACTCTGGCAGATAGTAAGCCAACTATTAACCTTCTGTCCATCCAACATGCAGAAGGAAATGGAGATGGACTAGATAGACACTGAGGAGAGGGCCGACTGAAATCATACACCAGGCCGTCAAGTGCAACTCAAACGGTGAATTAGCCGTCCACGGGTCACAAGGGAGTGACCATTTGAGGTGGGGTGGGTGATTTTGGAGTCAGCTAAAAGTGATGGACGAGACTTGAGTGAAATCAAGATGTGCTGGTGAAGCCTTATGTTCCACTCGTAGACAAGCGGATAAAGAAGAAGCTATGTCCAATAAATTCTTTCTGAAATTAACTGATATTTTGAAAAAATTAACGTTTGTTTCGGACATTGCAGAAAATCACTGTAAAAACTGATTTACTTCTGTATTACCTTTAGCCACTTTTATTCGTAAATAAGTAGCATAGCACCAACCGACACAACACAGCATCACTACACTGCCTTACTTTCCCTTCAATTGCTAAGAAAGAAATCAGAGATAAAGCGTCCTGAAAGCAGAAGGTAAAGCAACAAGTTATGACAACATCACTCTGTCACATAGGTGTGGTTGATCCTTCTCAGTTTTGTTTTACCAAGACAGGCCTTAAGTGACGAAAAGGCAAAGAATTCACATTGCAATATGTCAATAAAAGCATTTTTTAACTATTAATATTGATTCACAGTGTGAATCATCAATAAGTGATTGTTTACTGACTTCACTACGGTATATTTACCATTTATTTCACCCATTATTGGTAGACACTTGTAAAGAAATGCAATTGATCTGTGCATATATAAATCACAAGTGAAAAGCGTTTTGGTTTTTGCTACTTTAAAATTTTAGGAACTAGTTGGACAAAAGTGAAGACAAATGTATAAAGTCTTTTATATGTGCATGACTAAGTCGTAGAATATTGGCGACACTTGAAAACGAGACAGTGTTAATGACTCATTAGTGTATAACATTTGGAATATTAATAGAACTAACACTTTACTATTGATATATTGTTTCATTTCAAAGATATTATCATCAATGCGAAATACCTATTTGTAGACAATCAATCCTTATTCATATCTTAGTGAGTTAACGTAGCACTTCTAGATAAGCAGTCATTGAAATTAAAAATAATCTAAGTTTTACCTCTATACCAGTAGCCAGTGTTGGTGATCCAAATCCTGACAGTTGCAGAAATTTAGGGACTGCATTATATGAACTACCGGCTAGGTAGAATGGTTGAAAATCACTCACATACATCAATAGTGCTCATTACCTAGACCAAAGTAATCTAAAAACCACTCATGGCCTGAACTTAATTTGTCAAAATGAAAGAAGCAACTATTTTTAGGCAATGGACAGTACATACAAATTATTATTATTGTTCCTTTGGGTTCCTAGTAGAACATAGGGCTTCAACTGCACGTCTCCACTTGCTTCTGTCTTCTGCTGTACTTTTCACCTGTATCCATGTTAGTACATACTGTTTCAACTCTTCTTCACACGGTCTCCTCCATGTCACCCTTGGACGTCCCACTCGCCGCTTCCCTTTCGGGTTTCACTCGAGCTATGGTCTGACGCGCGATGTCACCCAGCGGCCTCCTCAGCGAGTGTCCAATTCATCTCCACTTTCTCCTTCATATTTGTTGAGCGATTGGTTCTTGTTTTGTTTGTTCCCATAGTTTCTTGTTGGTGATTCTTTCCGGCCATCTGATCTTGAGTATAGAGCGAAGACAGTTGTTGATAAAGATCTGCAACAGGCTGTTGGAAATATTCTTTGTGGCCCGCCACGTTTCTGATCCGTATATGAAAACTGACTTGACGTTTGTATTGAAAATCCGAATCATTTTGTTGTTGATGCAGGCTGAGTGACGAAGATTTCCAGATTGGTTTCAGGTTGATGAATGTGTTTCTCGCCTTCCCGATTCTCGATTTGACATCCTCGTCCGTTCCTCCTGTAGTTGAGACAATGCTCCCTAGATAAGTGAATGAAGTAACCTCTTTCAAATCCCTCCCGTTGATGGTGATTGGCACTGGATGTTGCTGCTGTTTTTGTTGTTGGTTGGTTATTTTCATAACCTCCGTCTTGTCTATGTTCACCTGCAGTCCTGTCTTCTCTGGCTGCTTCTTCGACCAGTTTGTCGGTTTTCGCTTGTAAGTCTTCGATTTTGTGTGACATCAAACATAAATCATCCACGCGCGAAATCCAGGTCTTCTAGGTTCTTCACGTCGGTCCAGGATATCCCTGTCTTCTCGTTTCTCACTGTCTGACGCATAATCCAGTCCACCACAATTAGGAATATCATTGGTGATAATAAGCACCCTTGTCTGACTCCTGTGTTTACTCCAAACACTTCGCTGAGTTTTCCGTTGTGGATTACTTGACATGTGCCGTTGTCGTACAGTTGTTGAATAAGCTTGATGAATATTTGGGGTACGCCGTAGTACTTGAGTAGTTTCCAAATTACTTCGCGGTCAACGCTGTCGAAGGCCTTCTCAAAGTCTATGAAGTTGAGGTAGAGGTTTGATTTCCATTCCATGCTTTGTTCGATGATGACGTGTAGAGTTGCTTAAGATTGATAAAGTTATTTCTTATTTTGAGGTTGTTCAAGTTTATATTGATCTCATGCAACAGCAACGACCTCTTTATGTGATGAAACAGAAGATAACACCTAGACTGGCTTAAGAAACTGCTCCCAAAAGTAGTCGAGCTTGGACAACAACAATTTCGATACAAGAATCCAAACATAATTGATCAGCTTAGCCAGCTCAAGTTCTCATAGAATATAAAAATGTACATCACTTAGTAATGAAGCAGAAGATATTAGCATTAGTCTCTCCACTAATTTTAATGACTATAGTGCCTTTATGGCAGTTAGATTTCGGCTACCATCCTCATGGAAATAGCTTCAATGATAAAAACAATAATTACGATAAAATTTAAACCGGCAACTTATGCTTATCCAATTATACATTCCTTTAAATTTCTGGTTTAGTGCAGCGGAGATAATGTAGAATCACTACATAATAACTTCAGGCATTTGATTCTACTTTTGTTCCGCATTCTTCAGTAAAACAAACAGTAATCTCTACATTTTCTGAAATCCAGTAAATGTTCACTGGTAATTATTTATTTAAATAAAAATAACTGGAGGGCGTTTATTTTACTACATTATTAATATCAAACTAAGCAATAAGCAGAAAAAAGTCAAACAAAAGTTTCAGTCATTTAAAATTTGTCGATATATTTCACAGATCGAAATATTATTGAAGAAAAAGTGAAATATCTTCAGTCTTCAGACTACTTGTCTTTTTTATTGTTAAAATGACTGAAATAGCGATCTCCTCTATGTATACGGATATACATATCTTGTTTATTTGTGTTCGCAACGCTGAAAACTTTACAAATAAACGATCCACACCGAGAAGCTGAAGAAGTTCACCAATATCATCGACCTGAGTCAAAAATCTTCTTTATTCCATACATATTTTTTTAAATTTTTATTTTATTTTTTAAATTTTTGGTTACAGCTTGATTCCACACCGTATTTTTGGTACAAGTATGGAATTTTCAGCATGTGATATCGGTGGCCCAAATTTTACAGGCCGACCATAGATATCGGATGTGCGTCGGTAGGGGATCGAACCCCGGACCATGTGCATGGTCGGCGAGAGTCCTAACCACTGTTGCTCACACTGTGCTTTTCATAGTTTACTAGCATCGAATGGTACCTTAAATGACTGGTTTTGATTTTGAGTCTCTGGGAATAATTGAATTCAGGTATGTTGAAAATATATCTCATTCTTAGTTATTATCACAAAATGATATTGCAGTTGATCTATGTCAACAATACAGTAAAAGTTAAACAAAATATCATAGCAGAGGTCTACCGATCCCTTTCAGTGAAGTTAATAACGGAAAGTAACAAATTTGCAAAAATTTAGTTGTGCAGTTCATGATTAGTTCATTCTGCGTTGTTTTCTTACTGGACACCATTCCCTTGAAAGCGCTTTAACGATATAGATTAGTTCCTATAAAACTGATCACTTCAGGTCATATCACCTAATTTCTTCATATATTTACTTAATGATATTTTGTCAGTCATTAAAACTGGGAATGATCTAAAATGAATTCTGTCACGTAAACAGACCTAAATATTGGAAACAAAAACAGTGTGAGTGACAGGAAAATGAAAATTAACACGCCTCTTTTCAGTATTCATGTGAGAAAATTTCCAGAAATCGTTTAGTTAGATCCATTTGTTTTCTAACTCCGTGTAGTAATGTATGCCTACAGCACATAAATAAATAATTCATGCTTTGCTTAAGATTGATATAGTTATTTCTTATTTTGAGGTTGTTCAAGTTTATATTGATCCCATGCAATAGCAATAAGAAAACAATATCTAATA